TTTTCGTTTCTACGGACGGACTAATTAGTAGTTTAAGTTAAGTAACGTCGAAATAAACTTACCTAGTACTACTTGTTAAAGAAAAAATAAAAAAAAAGTAGGCGGTCAGACAAACAAATTCACGAGATATAACTTTATTTAATAAAACTACACCTAAAGTAAACAATAAAATAATAGTGGCATTTATAATAGTGTACAGAGTATGAAACAGTTATGAATGTTCAGTATAAGACACAGTTTTACGAAAAATAAAACCCGTACGCAAGAAAAACGTAGCTAAAAGGTGTTTATAGCAGTTTATGAAACGAACCGAAGTTAAGTTATTGCAATGTAAAGTAAATGTAAAGTTGTAATGAAGGCAAACTTAGCTGATTATGTAGAAACGTCTGAATGTGTGTTCACAAAGTGATAAGCATATGGTTTTAAACGAACTGCGCATGCATATTTTCGACCTAAATAAGTATAAAGAAAACCCATAGCAATTGTATTTAGTGTAGTCTTCATTTTATTAAGAAATTACAATCGGTTAAGTGTTGTTTGTGTGAAATATTTTGTAAATAAAAGAACTAAAGTTGAAATCTAAGCCAGTCGTTGTTACGTATTGCGAATTGGAAATAGTCCGAAGCCGATATTTTAGTTAATTTACGCTATTTGCCAACGAGATTGACACACACCATTTTCGTTTTTCACACAAATACGTTTTAATACATATACAACAGTACAACTTACAACAACAATTATTACGAATAATTACCACGAACAAAGTTTTATAAACAACAATTTCACTAACTTACAAACAACATAAAATCTTTTTAGTTCAGAGTCTCCTTGATATCCAGCGAGTGAACTTGAAGTCGATGTACGTACAATTGCTGAGAAGCTAGCTAGCTTTGTCAGACACTGAATTGTTGGACCTTTAAGTAAGATAATATTTTCATAAAACCACCAACGTCCGATGAGAATCCATTGACGTTCGAAACATAACTTTTCCTGGTCAAATGCCGTTTTTTTTTTATCACGGTTGACAAGGGTTAGCAAAATCACGGTTTATAGTGTACATGGTTATAACAGGTTCTTAGCAGACTTATAAGCTCTTTCTCTTGGCGCGTCACGTTGACTGTTTTTATAGGCGCGAGAAAGGTTTTTCTCGAAAATTCGGACAACAATACTGAACTATTAATGGCTGGAGACGGCTTGAATGGGTAACGAAGAAAAACTTTAATATAAGTTTAACATAACAGCAAATGTACAACGTTTCGACAAGGTTTTGTACATTTGCTGTTATGTTAAACTCATATTAAAGTTTCTCTTCATTACCCATTCAAGCCGTCTCCAGCCATTATTAGTCTCAAAGTGGGTTCCTCGTTATCGAATTTGAATACTGAACTATATTTAACCGGTTACGGAAGTGGATATATTGTCGATTCTTGCCTTCATGAATATTCTACAATCTTGGAGAATTGGCGGGAATTTCGCCATACGTAACATAATAGTCGTCATGTGACAACAACAACATTGTACCATCGTGTACCATACTCGTTGCATTAAAATGTTTGACTAAGCAAAAAACAGGTAAGGTGATTCTGAATTGAAAAGCCAATATGCAATTCGAACTCTTCGGACAAAAGTTTTTCTAACGATATAAGATTTGTAGCATTTGATCGATAAATTTGCGAGAAAAGTTCCGGACAGACAAATTATTTTTTCATTTGTGTTTTCTAATCTAACCAAATAAATATCTAATTTTTTACATTTTAATTATTGTTACAATGATAAATAAAAATATACATAGAAAACAATAAATTTACAAGTTACATTTGGGTCTTGCACTTTTTTTCCAGTCAAAGACTCAAGTATCGATAAACGTTAACCTTAATTGTTGCTATGGTTGTTGTTAGTACTTCACTAAATTCTTACTGATCTCAGATATTAAATTTAGAACACAAAATAATAATATATATAAAGCATACAAGTCCTATCACAATTATAATGTTTGTTTGTTTGTTTTTAATTATGCACAAAGCTACACAAGGGCTATCTGTGCTCTGCCCACCACGGGTATCGAAACCCGGTTTCTAGCGTTGTAAGTCCGCAGACATACCGCTGTGCCACTGGGGGGCAATTATAATGTAACTGGCCTTTAAACTCAACTATGAATGAGTTAAAATACTTCCCCTAGGTAGTCGAGCTAAACCTGGCGATAGAAACTTTGAATCATACAAGTGTCACGTGATTCAGAAAATTGAAGATTAGGAATTTATTTAAATGTTTTGTTTTAAAATTAAAAATTGTATGATTTTAAAATTTTATTTATTACCAAAGTTTTGGTACCATGTTTATTGACATACATTGAAAATGAAATAGTTTGTTTAATTAAATTTTGAATGTAACTGTAAAAAAAAGGGTCGTGACAGTCGCATTTTTACGTACCGTATCAGGTGGACATTAGTAGTAATAGTTTCAGATGTAGCTACTTTGGTCTGTAATTCAAAATTATGGACGGTTAAGCCTGAACCATATGAGTCTCTACCTGGTAGTTTATAGGCCATTGTGTCCATAAAATGTCGTTCAGGAGAGCAAATTGACAAACATGTAATTAAAATATGGAACTATATTTGAAAATAGAGACAATTTCTGTACGAAAGGGGTACACACTACGTCATGGAAGATGTAAATATGTAATGATATATGAAACGGAGTATTTTAAATACTTGACCATTAAATATGAAAGTTGTTAATAAACAGTTATTTTATTTATTGCAGAAAATTTACGAAGGAGATTTACGAATTTTTATACCTATCACCAAGTTAGTCCTAGCTGCTTTGTGCCAAAAAACGCCGACCAACCGACTAAATTTGTTCGTTAAAAATGACCAAAGCCTGTGCTAATGAACGAAGAGAGTTGGCCTTTCTGATTGTGCTATGTGTTCAGGTAAAAATTTTATATATAAAAATTATATATATATCTGTTTATAAAACTTAAAACAGTTGCAGGTAAAATCGGAGTTTTCTTTAATAGTTATAATTTAATACATGAAGTAAATACAAGTCGAACGTCTTTTCCTTGTTATCTGTGCGTCTATCGTGTGTATAATCATTTATTTATATAAATAAACCATTAATAAATTTTAAAGCAGGAGCTGTCATCATTTCAAAGATATCACGCAGTTTAATAGAATATATATTTTGATAAAACAGGAAATTTTTACCTGAATGGATTTAGGCATCAAGTCTAACATATTTGTAGGGACAGTAAAATTCTTGGAACACTCACGCCCTAATAATAATGATAATATGACTAAAAAAATGTACCTATTATTTATATTTGTATACAACAGCTAGCTAGTGCTCGTATTATTATAGCAATTTTATGCTGTAAATGTTTGTTTTTCTAGGTCTGGTTTAACTTTAATCTTTCCAAAAACACAGCTCACTATTCTGTGAGCCTGTAATATAAATCCTATACTGCGTACTACGTTTTCAGATAGCAGTTGTGTTGAGTCAAGGAAAACCGATCTACAACATCGCGCACATGGTGAACACCATCTCGGAAGTGAAGAAGTACCTGGACAAAGGAGCTAACGGTATCGAGACAGACGTCACGTTCCTACTTAACGGAACAGCACGCTGGGCCCACCATGGTTTCCCTTGTGACTGTTTCAGGAACTGCGACCAGTACCAGGATATTGTAGAACACCTGAGATATATTCATCTGGTTACAACATCAGGTAATACTATTAATGTGTTTCTGAGCGATATGATACTAGCAAAACGTGGACAGAAGAGAAAGGGTACTTATTCAAAGGAATCGGGATAGACATGTGTGTAGTTATTTCTGTTTTGAAAAACTAAGAACACAGTTCTCGTTTCACGCCAAAGTGGACACTTATGAGTAAAAATGCTTTTACCGTAAACATATATTTATGCCTAAGTACTGTCAAATCAGGTTTTGTAAGAATGTTAAAAATATTTAGCATTTTTGAAGTATATTGCATATAAAGCTTATTCAGAAATATTTTCTTTTTTTCTGTTTTGAAGTATATTTAATCTCATCCTACTTCTTTATATTGCTTTCATAGACTAAAATTAAAGTAACAGAACAAAAACCAAATACATTTGGAGATAATAATATAATGAGAGCCAATACCTAAACGATATATATATATATATAGTATATGATTTTTTAAAAAGAAAATTGAAGTTGGAAAATCAAAGTCTAATACGCGATGTCGTTGTTTATATACATGTGTGTGGGGCCCGGAATGGCCAGGTGGCTAGGGCGCTCGACTCGTAATCTGCGGGTCGCGGGTTCGAATCCCCGTCCCACCAAACATGGGAGCGTTATAATGTGACGATCAATTCCACTATTCGTTGGTAAAAGAGTAGCCCAAGAGTTGGCGGTGGGTGGTGATGACTAGCTGCCTTCCCTCTAGTCTTACACTGCTAAATTAGGGACTGGTAGCGGAGATAGCCCTCGTGTAGCTTTGCGCGAAATTCATAACAAATAAACGTATATACATGTGTATTTGTGTTGATACATAACATACCTAATATTTATCGTATCGCTTCTACCATGAAATATTTGATCAACGCCTTAAATAATTTAAAATGATAGTTAGAAGAAAACAGTTAAGGAATTACAGAATTATCTTTTCGTGGCTTGAATTATATTGTTAAAACTCTAGAAACCGATAATCAAAGTAACTTCTGTTGGTGCATATTGTTGTTTGTTAACTATCTTGGACATGTTCTGAAATCTTATCAAATTCTGATACTTTACATCTTCATATCTTCTTGTCTTGGTTTCTGATAATCGTATTAACGTTATCAATAACGGAAACTACGCTGAAATCGTAAGCTTTATACCATTGTTTCCCTTTTACCCCTAAAATACGCGCCACATCTCTAATTGCTCTGCTCGTAGCAAAGTGAAAATAAAGCCAGAGAGTGGTACATAAAACGGCTTGCGATTGTATTATCACTTTGTCATTACACGAAGTTCTTATTCTGATTGTATTATCACTTTGTCATTACACGAAGTTCTTATTCTGATTTTATTATCACTTTGTCATTACACGAAGTTCTTATTCTGATTTTATTATCACTTTGTCATTACACGAAGTTCTTATTCTGGCGTATTTCGTTGTAATTGTTTTTACTTTTTAACGATCATAAAAATGTGAAACTTTTTGCGGACATTTCACTCGTGACATGCTGCTGTAGTAGGACACATCCTTTGGGAAACATTGCCCTAGACATTGTACCATGTTGCAGACCGTTTTGATGCGATGAGTTGTAATAGTGTTGCAGTAGGTAATCATGATGAGCAAATCACATCATAATTTAAATGTAAGAAAGTGATTTCCATCTGTATTGTGAATTTTCTCGATGCTTTTTTGAAAGATCCAAACTGTGTTGAGATATTATGCCAACTTTTGTATTGTTTTACAGCTCATTATTTGAGGTCTTATGCAATTCAGTATTAAAAACTGAAAATTCTGTATCAATATTTTGATCTATATTCTGGTGGTCTTTATTTGTTCTTAAGTACAAATGCTCACAATGGAATATCTGTGTTCCCCTCGAGGTAGCTTCCTGTACGTGGTGAGAGGACCTCCCAGGGAAGGTTCTGTGTCTTCAGTTTACCTCCTCTGGGATCCAAACATTCACCCACGTGTTTTCCATGCGTGGCGACGCGTAAAGGGGAGGAGGGGTGATTGACAAGCCAGTTTATACCAGTGGCACTTTAACACATAACTTTGGCTTTGAATTCCTGTAGACAGGTGGTCTTGGGGTGGCGCCCCATGACTAGAATCAACTAAGTACCAGTGTTTGACGTTCTCAACAGGTGTTGTGGACATTGTATTTTATGCTGGTGCTTGGCCATAGTGCCCACGAATCCCTAACGTCTGTACAATGCTCTACTTTAGCATTGTAGTGCGTCCCCTTGTAGGAGTCTGTGGTGGGTGGGGTTAGTTGGCACTGAAGTTTCTCTATTTTGTATGTATCCTGCACCCAGTGACCCCAAAAAATACTCATTAATAAGAAAGCGACCATGTATGGACGACTCTGTACAGCAGTCACAACCCCAATCTGTCCATGTACCTCGTTTTCCAATATTACACCCTACATCTGACAAACCTTTAGGGCAAATGCCTCCGTTTTTCGTTCAGAAGGGATCAGAGGGGCTTGCTGGCTCTCCAAAGTCAGTTAAGAAGCTACATTGTGGGGATATTTTGGTGGACATATCTACAACAAAACACAGTGAACTCCTCCTGAAATCAAAGACCATTGGGGATATACCTATTGAGGTTACTCCCATGCTACTTTGAACTCCTCCCGAGGAGTGATTGTTGAGAGGGAGTTATGAAACATCCCCAAGTTGGAAGCCATCGCCTGTTTCTCCAGCCAAGGAGTTTCTGCTGTACGGTGTATCTCCACTTGTAAAGAAGGAATTATGCTGCCTACCAATGTTCTTGTATTGACATTTACATCTCCACGTCCGCCTGCCTCTGTCAAGGCATGTTACCTGAACTGTAAAGTATGGTCTTATATTCCTAACCCACTCAGGTGTTTCCAGTGTGAGTGGTTCAGACATTCTAAGGCATTTTGTCGTGGTTCTTTGACGTGTGCTCGTTGTGGTAACAAAGACCATGACGCCTACGAGTGTCAACTGGACCCTCACTCCGTCAATTGTGGTGGATCCCACCCCTCTTGCTTTTATCTTGCCCTAAGTGGGTGGAGGAAAAAGAGGTACAACATTTACATACTGTAAACAAAGTTTCTTACCCCGAGGCTCAGACGTTGTTGTATCCTGTTCCATCTCAGACATATTCTGTTGTTCTCTATTCCACTGCTAGATTGGGAGTGCAGACAGATCTTTCTGTGCCTCCATCAGAGTATCTGTCACACCATGTGAAAAGTCTTCTTCCTCCATAGTTGCACAAGTCTACGTCAACTCTCTTCTCTGTCCCCACCATCACTTCCAGTGACTGCTTGGGTCCATCTTCAGCCCCGAGGTGCAGAACCATTATGCAGTCTTTTGAGTCTCCATCTTCTCCATTGATTTGCCCAATCGACCCCTGGCAGGTTCCATGGAAGTAGACAGACCTTTTTCTCCTAAAAAAAATGTAGTGGTCGCAGGCAGAAACGTTCTCCACTCAGTTATCCTCCATCTAAATAGAAATGATACTTTTTGATACAGTGGAATTGTTGAGGTTTCTATTCTGATTTGGATGACATTAAGGCCTTGATCGATTCCTACCATATTGATGTACAGAGTATCGCCAATACTATCGGGGAGAACTTTGCTTATCTCTCCAGCATTTCTGCTTCTTCTCCTGCATTCTTGTCCATCAAGTCTTGGACTGAATGATTGCTCCTTTCCTTTTGGGCACATTGTCTTTATGATTATAATCATCCTTTTACCCTGGTGGAACTTAAGCTTGCTCTTCATCGCTCTGGCAGTACATCAATCAGACCTGATGACATTCACTATGAGATGCTGCACCATCTCTCTCGTCTATTTCTCTTCTTTTGGTTCTCTTTAACTGGATCTGGCAGGAAAATATTTTTTCAGATGCTTGAAGCATGGTTGTTGTTCTTCCGTTCTCAAAACCTGGGATGAATTCTAAGATTACTTCTAATTACTGTCCAGTTGCTTTGACTAGCTGTCTCTGTAAGATTTTGGAGAGGCTTGTTAATGCTAGTCTTGTTTGGTTCCTTGAATCAAACAACCTCCTCTCACCTACCCTTAGGACACTCGACTCGCAATCTGAGGGTCGCGGGTTCGAATCCCTCTCACACCAAACAT